TGAGGAGGAAATCGACAGGCACCCCTTCTAGTGTCCATACTGGAGTGCTGAGCCGGTCGCGGGGTCGCGGGACAGCCCCTGGGCGTCTAGGGCTCAGCTGCGTCAGAAGTATACATCAGCACCACGTCTGTACTTTTTGGTGCGTGCGGATTGGCCAACCCCACACATTGCTGACAGTCCCAGGCTAGTCAATTTTTTTGGCGGCGAGGAGCCCAGGGCCAGAAGTCGACTACAGCGTACTGCTGTCTGGTCTGAAGTGCTGTCAGAATGAGTTCATGGACATACAATGAAGAGGAGCACCCAACCAAAGCCATCACTGCTATTGACAATCACCCGAAGCTATCCAGATCATCTGTGTTGGGCGCAGCAGCGTTAACATCGACACTGACTAGGAATCGTTCCATATTGGAGGGGTCTTTCCACGATGCAGGTACACAAATAAGGCACCCGAGTTATCCGCGCCATCTCTGTTGCGTCTAACGTACTGTAGGGGGTATGCGTAGCCATCAGCAAGGCGAATGAAGGTGGCACAGCGGTATAGTGCACACAACAGGTGAGGGAATACATAAAATGGGGCGATCTTGGACAGATGCCTGCGTTCGTTTGTGGACGAGACGACTAAGCATGTACTTACGCTGCGCCGCGGTGGGAAAATATGTAAAACAGGGAATTGTTAATGGCGAGTTTCGGCCAACGTTTTTTTCCTTCTAGAATTAGAAATAACTTCTAGATTTAGAAGGAAGGGTCAATTTCTGGGAACCTTCCTCAAAGCGGGGGAACATTGAGCTCCTAAATCTGGAGTGTGGCTATCAGATTTAGAATAGAAGACCGCTGGCGCTGCTTTTTCTAAATCGAATTTGCTTTCAGGAGAAGAAATAGATTTAAGCATCAGAGGAGGAGCAAAGGGACCATCATCACTGTAACAACAGCAGCAGCAGCACAGCGGCAGCAGCAGTAGTAGAGCAGGTACCACGGAAGGTGATGCTGTTGTTGTGTGGACTCCATCGCTGCTGCCGACGAAGGTCAGACCTACATCTATCTGGGGGTGGTTGGTTGGTCTGCGTGCGGAAGGAAGAAGAAAAAAGCAGGCGTGTGCGTGTTGTGGTGTGTGTGTGCTTCTGTCTGCTGTTGCTGCTGGGTTGTTGCCGGCCGAGAGAAGAAGCACCAGGCGGAGAAAGAGGAAGATCAAACCACCTGTCTAGACACGGCTCTCGGTGACGAGCTCTGCTATATAGCGGGGTGTGCGTCCCCTCTTGCTGGTTCCTGCTGCTGGTTGGTGTTCTCTGTCCTCTCTCTCTCGTGGAAAAGGTCTGTCTGTCTCTCTTCGCACACAGCAAGAAAAAGCTAAGTGAGGCGCCTTGATTACCCTTCTCACAGATTGAACGTTGTGCAGCCCCCCTCAACCACCATGGCCGTGGTCTGTGTCAACCTCCTCATCAACAACCTGCTTTGAAGCGCTGGTGGTGCAGAATGAAGAGCACACCGCTGTGTGGCGATGTGTGATGATGTGATGTGCAGCAAGCTGCTGCCCTTTTTTTTTTTCTGCCGCCTTGCCCGCCCCCGGCCCCCGGCGTGTTTTTATGCCGCGTTCAACTCCGTGGTTTCCATCAAATAAATTTCCGGGAACCGTCGTTCTTCGTATATCTAGAAGTGAAATCAAGAAGTGCCGTTTGTGTTCCGAAATAGTCTAATCTTCGGTTTGAATTTAGGACTTCGGTCTGAGAATTTCCGGAACCGGTACGTGGTACGTAAAGCTCGCTCGTTATATATTAGTCCTGAAAATCGAATCAAAACACATGTCTGCAGAGGGGCCTTTCACAACTCCTCTCCTGAAAGGCGCGCGGTCGGGAGCAGCCTCAAATAGCCTCAGGCGAGCTTCTGTGGCGGTGAGTACGTACGCT